CCCCCCTTCCCGCACGAAAGGACGCCGCCCCGCCCGTCGCCTCACCGGTAGTCGATTCATCCCATGGCACTTCCCGCTCCGCCCCGCCCGTCGCGTCGCTTCAGCCCCGATTGCCCGACATACCAACAAATCCCTTTCTCCGGCCCTCGTACTCGTCACGGCTGTCCCCACGGCCTTTTTTTCCTGTACTTGTCGCGGCTTTCGCTAGTTCCTGCCGGCATTTCTCTGGCCCTGGCCCCGAGTGCCACCGGTTCCCCCTTGGCCGCTGCCCGTAACCGGTCCCGCACGGAGGCACCCGGTTTCTGTTGGGCCCCACGTGAGGGCCGCTGTTTCCTTTAGTAGTATAGGGAAAAGGTAACTTCATTTTGACCTTTTCCTTTCTTTTCGGCTTCTCCATGTCTTTGGCCGGTTTCTTCATGGGTTCCACTTTCTTCTCCGCTGGTTTCTCAGGTCCTTTTTGAGAACTCCTGGGTCTCTCCGACGTTACTTTCCTCATTGCATCCTTCATTCGTTTCTCCTGGGGTTCTTTCTTTTCCTCTTCCCCCTTGGCCTTGTCCTCAACCCTTACGTGGTCCTTGCCCTTGAGAAGTCTGGTCGCCGTCTTCAATGCCGTAGTATTACCATCTATTTTCCTCTCAAGGTGGACAAGATAAGCCATCATGGCGTGTAACACAGATGCAAGATCAGTTTCTGTTTCATAATGAAATCTTTGTCTCATTCCGTCCATTATCATTTCTTGCTGTTCTTTTTCTTCTCTTCTTCTCCGGTGTTCTTCTATCTTTTTTCTCTCTTCCCTCGGTGTGTTTTCTAATTACCAGATGTTTTCCTCCATGATTTCTTCAGACAGTTCTGGTTCTTCCTGTCTTTCTCCTCCTCCTCCTCCACCTATTGTTCTCTTTTGGTCCATCTTTTCCAGATGTTAGGCGACATAACGATCAAGGGCTATTCGCCCTTGCTTGATGAGTTCTTCGACGCATTTTCCAGTTTCCAGCATCTGAGCGGCAGTCTCAGCGGCATTCAAGTTCATCTTCTGCAGCAAGCAGATTGAACTGTCCGTGAACATGCCGTTCAGCTTCTGGTCCGGCTCCATGTATCTCGCCAACTGGCGGAGAAGGCCTGTTAACGTTTGCCTTCTCGCATCTATCTGACCACGGGTTTTTAAGACCCCTCCTTCTTCATCAGCATAGACGGTGAGAGGGATAGGAAAGAAGAAAATAGGAATGAATCTTGTGAGAATGGAGGCACACACACATTTCCAGAGACAAGTCACGGTTCCCAGCATGTGAATGCCGCACAATAAATAATTAGAAGACAGAAATTAATTCCATGGCCACACTTTAACTGTCCTACAGCAGGCAATGACAACGAAAATAAGAAGAAACAGATATCAATTACTATCTATTTCTAGCATCTGTTGTCTGTCCTATGTGTGATGTCTGTTTTAACGAGAGTGCACAGGTACCGCAGCCACAGCCAGTGAGATCAAGACACAACAACACAGGTGAGTATGCACGACAACGACTGAACAGCCGAGACAAGTGAGTAAGTCAGCCAACACAATCAACAACAATCGATTGTCAACATTCTTTCCTCTACCACTGTACCATCTGCAGAACCGATGCAGCCAGACACAAGGGCTGGCGCGTGGCACTACAGCAATCGTGAAGCTGTACCGCCCGCCAACGCACAAGTGCAAGTATCAACACCTCACCCACGGCAGCGTGCAATCATGTCATGTGTCACCCCTGGAATGACAACACAGCAGCTCTACGCAGTCTTTCACATCAGCGTCAATGACCTGCAAGGTCTTCGAGAGGGATGCCACGTCAGCATGGCACGAACTGCCAATACATACAACACTGGTATGCCAGATCAAGGTGTGGACCACTTCGTCAGCAGGTAGACGCGACACTGGTACGTGCCACGCCAAACAATGCCCTGCCAATAGTAGGATGCCATGTCAGCACCCTGCGCCATGCCACATGGGCAGCGCGCCACATCAGCAGTTTGAATGTCCACTCTCTCTCTCTCTCTCTCTCTCTCTCTCTCTCTCTCTCTCTCTCTCTCTCTCTCTCTCGTCTGCCAGCGCCACGTCAGCCTGCTGCCAACGGTACTGTCGCCGGTATCTCAATGCCACATCAGCAACAAAGCGCCATCTAAGTCATCATCTTCAAGGGGGCTGCACGCACGCGTGGTACTCAATGTCCAGACTCGCGATATTAATCGCGTGCGTTTACAAACGTGTTTCGTCCCACACACGTGCGGCACCTCCCACTTACCTGGGCACCATGTGGCGCCCGGCCTACAGCAAGAGCTGCGTAAACCTTTCCATGGGCAAAGCCTTCAAACTTCAAATTATGTTGTGGCAAACTTGCCCTATCCAGCAAGGCTAGAGGAGCAGACACGCCGCACCAAATCCCATGACTGGACTTTCTCGCCTAAGAATTTGACTGTGCTTGTGAATACTGCTTGACTACATCAAACTCACCATAGGCTAAGGTTCACGGCATTATCGTTCGAAATATGCACTGAAGGTCTTGGCACAAGCCACTATGTTCACCTGAACACAACACACGACGACTATATCAAACCGGAACAGGCAGGTTGTGTACACTTATGACGATCAGGCGTTATGTTCATGGAAGACACTAGGTCTCAGAACAGAGCCATGTTCGGCCAATGACAAAAGTGGAAAAGAGAAAATATAGCCATTTGCTAGGACTTCCACAGGTCAGTTCCTTGGGCCACAAACCGGACTGATCGAGAAGGAGACACTTACCACTCGCTTAATCAGACATGCATGGCATGTAAGACAAACAAGTGGTCGAAAAGTGAGAAGTCTTCCATGCATCAAAACTGGAATAGAACTGCACAACAGAAACCTACATACTGGAAAATTGGGAAAGAGATGAATTTCTTGGTCTCCCGAGGTTAGGAGTCGAAGACCATACCTGCGCATACTGAACATCGAGATTATGCTTTCCCATCCCACAAGGGCTTACAGTGGTGAGTGGCTCCACAATGGCCTGCCAAGAGATTTCGCAGATGCGAGCAACCACATGATCCCATGCACTGGCCTCTGTAGGTTTCCTGCTGATGATAGACTCCAAGATCTTCTTCACATAGAAGGCGAACTGCGCAAGCCTGCGCACAGAGTACTGAAATTCCTGGGCCAAGAGCTGCACAAGTGCCCAGTTCCAATCCCATACAATGCACCACTCCTTAATATATATTACACAAGATCACATATATTTGTACATGACACAAGATCACAGATATTGTAAGTCATGCACATTTACACCATTGTCATTGCAAACATCTGGCACAGCCAAATGCAGATAAATACAAAAGCACGAGTTGATGTTAGGCAAGCCGATATATATACGATGATAAACCTCCAGAGTATCATCTCCTCACTATTATAATTCCATGCGAATCACCGTAATGAAGCATGTGCCCATTCCTCCAGCAATTTTGCCGACAAGCCAACACAGGCTGTGAGGTAGAGAAGCTCAGCACGATATGAGGTGCCTCAATCGATAGTGTTCATTCCAGGGCTGTGCCGGCAACCGGCCGGTTGGACCCCCCGTAGTCCAACCGGAATTCCGGCTGAGCCCAAAAGTGGGTCCTTTTTTTTTTGAAAACATGGTCACCGAGATCGCCCCGAATCCGCAAAGAAAACTTCGAACAGAGAAGTTCATTGGTGAGGTCTCAGGGGTTGGGGGTTTATGGTGGGGGTGTTAGTGGCGGGGTTTCAGCAAGCACGGGTTTCAGCAGACATTCACAAGGACGTACCTGGCTCTCATGGGGGTGTTAGTAGCAGGGTACGGCCGGTACTTCCCCCCAAAAAACTTTGAAAACGGCAGCCTATCTGGGCCACCAATCTTTCGAGATCAGCGGTCCAGAGAGTCCGCCCTTTTCAAGCCTTTTTGGCGGGCCTACCGGACACAGTCTGATTTTTTTTTGGGCAAGAAGACCTCCACGGCCTGCGTGGAGGCCTCCTGGCCCCCAAAAAAAAACGGTAAGACCCCCAGATTGGATGCGCTACGGCCAACCGGGAGGGAACCGGCCTGGTCGACCGGCTGGTCGGCCCAGTCCGGTTCCGGTTGGGGGAGGGGCCCCCTGTCCTACAGGGTTTACAGCACTGGTTCATCTACATGCATGTAGGTAGATCTATGACTGTTTGGCCATAGATGTTTGCTGTTTGGACGGTCAGATAGGTCTGTAGGTGGCTGCTGTGCTGTAGGTCTAGGGAAGTCGGGTAGAAGTAGCCAGAGGCCAACGAGTTTGGGTGTTTTTTTGGTTCTTGTCGTTGCTTTTTTTTTTACTGTCTTGGTGGAGGTCGCGTTGCTTCCCTGCTGCGTTATTGTGGGCATGTACCCATGGCATCTTCTCCACATGCTGCTGGTGGCCATAGCTGGGGCTAGCACTGGGCTCGGCACCCAAGTGCTGATGAGCACTTCCTCATATTCGTGTGCTTGTTGGGGTTAAGGCATATACCATCGAAGCGGCTTTTGTATGTCTTCTCCGAAGTGGCAGGCCTTCATCTTCATCGAGTTGTTCTTCTTCTTCATCCTGGGAGCTGCGCTCCCCTGCTGAGTGGACACTTCATCTGCAGTGGGCTCCTTGAGTGGTGCAGAGGGGTGTTGTAACGAGCGTGAGGCTGAGGGTGAGCCGAGGGAGAGGAGAGAGAGGGAGAGAGTGAGAGCACACACACACACTCACTCACTCGACTTGACGGACTCGGACCAAGGGTCGGACGCAGACACAGTGGTAAGGCACAAAGTCGAAGTCTTGGATCCCGAATGCCGAAACAGCAAGTCACACTGAGTACGAGTACAGCAGCAGAGAACTGGTACCAGACTGCCCCCCGTACCGTACGGGGAGCCGGTATAAGTACCGGTGACACGTACGGTACCAGGGGCATTTCTGCAAAGGCCCCGAGGGCAGAACTGAAAAATGCAGTATTTGAAAGTTGCGCCCGAATTGCAGCATGGCGCCAGTTGTCCAAAATCCTACGGTACCAAAGGAGGGGTTTGGAAAAAGGGTGCCAGGCCGAGAACGGGAGGCAGCCAAAACAGCAAAAGATAGACCAGGGATCGAGCCCTGGCGAAGTCCGTAACACTATCCCCTCCCTCTAGAAGGCAACGTCCCGGCTGCCAAAAATCATGAAGCAATGCTGAAATCTGTGAAGGACGGGAC